AAAAATTGCGGTGAAAAAAAACTGTTAAAAAAAATTACGTGTTTTGTCCTCATAAAGGGCTGATCTAAATATGCAAATCAAAACAAAACCCTCGAACTAGAATTTTGTGAAAAGACGAGCTCGGCAACTTGTGCCATTTTTGATAGTCGGTGTTGTTAAAAACTAGCGTTTAAGCGCTGAAGCGATTTTCACTCAGAAAAAAAATATGTATTTTGCTATATTTGCAAAAACCATAGTGGATTCGATTACTGTGAGAGTAATGTAGATCCCTGAGCAAAGTTTGAAAGAAATCGATTTTTCGACCCGAAACGCACTGGACTGCTTTCAGAGAGAGTGTCTTAACTGCCATTTAGGGAGGATCATAAAAACAATACAGAGCCCAATATGGGGACCGGTTAAATTTGTAGCGTCACAACCGAGATCCTTCCACACACCCCAACCCCCCTCTGTATCAATATAATGCCAGGTCGCCAAGTCTCAATGAGCGCGCGCACATTCTCGGCGACACACACTCTTACTTCTTTGAAGCAGACAGATCTTTTGCCTGGATATAAAAGGAACTTAAATAGGGAACTAATTTTAAAAATAATAACATGCGATAAAAAGAAAGAGAAAAACTACAACGGATAAAACAAACAAACATTTATCGGATGGCTGAGGATTCGGTGGTGAAGCATTAGGTGGGCGGAGTTGGAGCTACGGGAGGAAGGTGGTAGCCCAGATTTTTTTCCGTTGCACTCCTCGTAAAAAATTCTGTGTTTTTCTAAGGCTTTATTCTATGAAGCATACAAAAGTTAACAATTTTACCAAAAAGCAGTTAATTCTAGGGCTCCTAACAAAAGTTAATCGTTTTACCATGATGCAAAACGTATCAGCCATTTCACTTTTACAATGTTCTGCTGAGTTTACACAGAGTCGCTCTGGAGTTCTAAGTATGGAGGGCATTCCATTCCAGCCTGTTAAATGATGAACAAAACTACTTCAATAAATCATTAAAACTGGGCTCACTTTACATATGTAGATATATATATATAGTTTCACTATGTGATCAACTTTCGAGCATGCCCTAATTGGTAGTGTGACACACGAGAGGTAAGGACCGCGCCTTTTGAGCCGGCGAACGATGTGAGTGCGCTTGCGCAAGAGAGGTTCTCGAGCAGCACTCTAATAAACCTCTTGCGTTCTCGCCTTGCTGGAAGGCTCCAACTCTAGTAGGCTTTGTTGCTTTCTCACAGGTTACAAAATGGTCATCGGTTTACTTAATTTCATTCGCAAATAGAATAAATGGATGAGAATAAAGTTTTTGATTGATTGAATTGGATCGTTAACTGCTGAAAAAAAAATCTCAATCGTTCGCGTCGAAGTTCGACCACCTTTGCTCTTAAATAACATGCTAGTCTACTAGATCTGCCATCGTAGTGTATTTTTGCACGGTAAAACAAAAATATTCATGGCGAATTTGACTTCCAAGTCATGTAGCATTACAACAGTGAAAATGTAATTACCCTCTGGGTTTGGTTACCGCTTGTCAGAGGAGGAGAAAATCCTGCACTCGTTCCCGAAGGATCTTGACGAAGGGCTTCGATATACGAATACACCACTATGATGAAGTAGATCTTAGAAAAGAAAAAAAAAGGAAAAGAAGCAAAGAGGTCAGACCCAGGCCACCATCAAGTTAGGAGTATACAGTTGATCGAGTCGGAGAATATACCGCTTTTCGACTAAGTGTGATTAAACCAAAATAAAGTAATCACGACAGCAAATCAGAAAAAAGAAAAATGCCTTGAAGAGGCAGCGAGAATTCAAAGTAAAAAACAACTAGAGTGACTAAAGCGCGGGAAAACGCAGGCGACCAAGTCGTGATTGGTTTTAATTTTGCATCTGATTGATTAGTGGCGTGAGTTTTCTCAAATCAAAGAGCGAAGTAAGACAAAATCAATGCAATCTCGAATCTCCTTCCACCCTGAAACAAAAATTGCTCTGAACATACCAACAGCAACCATTCAATGATGTAAACAATGAAAACGTCGGCAAACTGTAACATAGAAGGAAAAAGAATTCAGGTTAAATTCGTTGAAAAACTCTCTACTATTAATTAATAAAAAGGAAATAAAAAGTTGTTTTTATTTACCCCATCCCAGATGTCAATGTAAAATATAAACACTCCAAAACTGAAAAAGAGCTTGAATATGCTCCACCCGAGCCAAGGAAACGCCAAACGCTTGTCACTCTGCGACGACAAAGAACGATGGTCAATAAACTAACAAATAATTAAATAAAAAGCCAACGCTCCGAGCTGCAACTGTCTGGGTCGAGTCAAAAAGAAAAATCGGTG